CCCCAAAACCCCAAAACCCCAAAACCCCTTGAAGTTAGAAAATATGAAATAGAGTTATTTTTTAAAATACTAGTTTTTACTATTTTACTTTTAATTGGATATTTTAATATATAATTCCTTCATTTTATAGACATGGAAAATATATTCTCTCTTAAGATCAGAGAATCCTTTGACAGATATAGAATAGAAAACCGTATAGGCTCTGGAGCATTCGGCTCTGTATATGTTGCCACAGATCTATAAGACCCTAATAAGAAGTGAGTTGCTTTTAAATAACAAGATCTCACTGCACTTAAAGTTTGTAATGACGAAGATCTGCCCTTTGAGCTGCTAAGGATTTTGAGAGAAATTGCCACATTCTAGCTAAAGCATCCTAATATTGTGGATATATTAGATTCATATTTCACGGTCGATAGTAAATTCATTATCATTAGTGAGCTGTCTACTTCAGATCTTGCAGCAGTTGTCAAATAGCGAAAGCAATTAACCGGAAAAGAGATTATTAATGTCATGATTCAACTACTTGAGGGTTTAGACTATATTCATAAAAAAGGATTCATTCATCGAGACATCTCTCCTCAGAATATCCTTGTTTTCGAATAAGACTTAGTTAAAATTTGTGACTTTGGAGTAGCTTCATATGGACTATAAACAGTGATGAAAGCTGGTAAAAATTAGTACATGGCTCCAGAGTCAATGATGGGTGGTTTATAATATGATAAGAATGTTGATATTTGGTCATTAGGAATACTTCTCTTTTATTTGTGTGCAGGATCCGAAAATATTGATGGAGTAACTGTTAATTCTATTTTGGCAGTCAAACGTGAATAAGTATTATTACCACAAGGCTATAACCAATTCCAAGATATCTTTAATTCAATGACTGCTTATAATCCTTAACAAAGACCATCAATATAGTAATTGAAAGCAGATTTCATTCGTATGATTGATAAGGCTTCCGATCATTAAAAGCTTTAGAATTTGGTCCTGAGCAACTAATTAAATTCATTGAAAGATGATTTACATGTTTGTCAAGACGAGCTATCTTAATGTCTCTCATTCAACTTAAACTAATACCAATAATACTCCAAGAAAGCTATAAAGTAGCATTTATAAGAATTTGATGAGAAATTAAAATTATATTAAGAGGAAGTTAGTTCTTACTGCGAATAATTAACTGAAGTAGAGAATCCAGAAGACACTCCTACCAATTACTACAATAATAAAAATTAATGCATTACCAGCCAATAAAGTAAGAAATTAGATCTCTAAATTGATTTGATATAAATCTAAACTACCCTGGATGATTTCACAGCTTAAAAGCTTGATTAAAGAAGCAAAGGCTATTATAAAGAATTCAGAAGATTGGTAAACCCATATGTTAGTTAGAATAATTAGACGGATGTAAATCTCTTTAAATTAAAAGGGAAATGCTAATTATTATACAGAGCTACAAAAGATGGTTTCAAAGCTGCCGATTTTCACTATAGATGTGATAACAAAGGTCCATCAATTTCATTTATTCTAAGTGAGCATGGATAAGTTTTTGGGGGATATTCATCTATCTCTTGGTAATCTCCAGAAGATTCAAAGTATCATATAGATAAAGAAGCACTAATATTTCAGCTGTCAAAGAACACATTACATTAATAGCATAGGCATTTTGAGAATGCTGTAAGACATTGCAAGGACTATCTTATGGTGTTTGGAAAAACAAATGACATTTAGATTCTGCCTGATTGTAATAAAAATGATAACAGCAGGAGTAATTTAGGCAGTACCTATATGCTACCCTCTGGTCTTACTTGGGGTGAATGGGCCAAAGAGTATTTGGCTGGAAGCTATCACTTCAAAGTTATAGAAATAGAAGTTTACTAAGTTATAAAGCACTAATAATGATTATTTATTACAGTATCAATGGATTTTAATTTTATTAATCAATTAAAGCACTTAACTTATATAAAGTGAAAAAATACTAGTGGGGTTTTGGGGTTTTGGGG